ACAATGTCTGCATCATAGGGTGCACATGGTCAGCCAAAATTGTACACAGTCACTAGCAAGTGACTCTACTGTATATCAGGAAAAAGTTCACTATTGCATTCTCTATTCCAGTTTGCTAGTCTGGACAACTGACAAAGTGACAACCGCTCACTGCATGACTGGACCATCCAGGGGATTCAATGAGGACTTCAAAAAAAAGCCTCAACTCCCTAGCAGTTGAGTCCTTAAAGGAGGGAATAATATGCTAAGAAACAGTATTTAGTGCAAGAATGCCCTTGTCCCCAGTAGGAACAGTCCATTTCTAATGACTTAAGGCATCAAAATTTTTCGGAGGAGCGAATAACCTCTCAGGTTGGGCTAATCATTGTAGAAGGCCCAATCTGCTTGATCAAGAATAGATATATGCTTTCAAGGCATAACCTTTTTTTTTTTTTTTGTGCCAATAGAAACAGGTGGGGGTGCAATACTAGGTGTGTTTAGCCAAAGACTAGTATACACTGTCTCAATTAACAAGTCCGCATGAACTTTTGGCAGTGAAAGATTTTCAGCAGCTTCTACTAGAATGTTAGCTTCCCCTTACCTTATGCAACTGAAAGTGCACCAGGCAGTTCAGGTTGTAATGCAGTGAAAACGTGGAGGAGAGGCAGAAGAGTTTATGGCTGTCAGCACCCCTTGATTCTGTAAGTGATGATAGCCTTTGGAATAGATTAAAGTTGCAGAGAAATCTGCTTTAGTCAGATAGGCTGCTTGTTGAGCATCAGTGAGGAAACCTGAATCAGGGGGCTTGTCAGCTGTCCCTTTGTTCCAGAGCAAGGTCTTACACTATCAACCTAAGCGGTACTTGGAGTTTCCTCAGTGGAATCCTTGCTGTCTGTCCCATGTGCTTCTGCTCCCAAATGCCTTTAATTTGCCATAGTTAAACCTTCCCTGCAGGGTACTCACAGAATTCATACAGACTGAAGGTGTTCAGCGGGTCCAGTATGAAGAAATTGCAACAGTCCAGGTACTAAACAAGTTCCTGTGGCTGGTATGAGGTCAGAAGTGAGCAGTAAGGATTATGTGACTAGCAAGAGAGAGGAACCTCTGGTAATGAAGTGTAAAGGCTGCCAAATTTACATAGTAAAAGCCTTATAATACCTACTAAGACTAAGAAGGACGCATCCTGAAGACGCAGATAGCAAATATCCGGTGACATCATGTCTGGCCCATTCCTTTCCGGTAGGTGGAACGCATGCTGATCCTCGGAGGGATCACGATTCAATATAGGTTGTTTACATTGGTGCTGATCTTGGGCACAAACGTATGTGAGTGCAATATTTTTAACTTGAATGCCTTTTATATGAATAAAAATACTACACCATAGCCTTCCCCCCCCCCCCCCCCCCCCCCCCCTTTTTAGTTTGGTGTGGTTAATTTTTGGAGGGTGTTCCAGCAAGAAAGGCTATGGAGGAAGTGAATTAGATGGTCAATATGTATTTTAGGGGAAAATATACAACCCACCATGTTTTTTGGACCTTGACTCAAATAGAGGTCACAGGAGTGTCGGTAAATGTGCACTTCTCACTGTGGTGTGGAATTGTGGCAGTGTTACAAGGTTTGAAAATAGAAGCACGGAAGATTATATGCACGGTAGTGCATTGGACTTTATATGGGGGCGAAATTATATTTCTCAAATTGGTGTGAATATTGATGCTCATTCTGTAAGCGCCTATGTACTCCTTTTTCTTTTTTTTGCACTTGGAGTGATTTCACACAGTAGCAGGCGCCTTTTAATATTTTTGAAAAGCTTTAGTATAACTTCAAGAACTGTGAAAGGAGGTTTCTGGAAATACTGCAAATGTCCTCACTCCAGGCAAAGTAGGCATGTACAGTGGTGGATCTTGCGGCAAGTTATATATTTTTTTGCTCTAAACAAGGTGGCAATGACTGAATCTGATATACCTTTACCCTTTAGGACTTGAGTTTAAACTGCTATTAAAGCTGGAGAATGATAAGCAGAGTGGGAAAATTGGTCCTTTCACCAGTAAATCTGGCCTGTTTGGAAGAGGCCAGGGCTCAGCTGCCAGTAGTCTGAGTATGTTTGTGTACCACATCTTTCTGGGCCAATTCAATGCAATAAGAATCACTAGAACCTTTTCTTCCTCTATCTTGCGCAGCAGTTGATGGAGAATCTTTACCAGAGGAAATGCATAGATCAGCTAGAATGGAGTCCAAGAAAGCCCCAAGGCATCTACTGTGAAGGCTAGAGAATTCTATGTCCTGGCTACAAGTCTGTCAATGGTAGGGGGAGCAATATGTGGACATCCTGGCCTCCAGATTTACTACAAACTGCACAAAGCTTTTGGAATATCATTCCCCTAGGTCTATGTGTTGAGAAGACCGCAGGCCAATTGTCCACACTAGGCATGTGATGGTAGAGCAATTCGGAATGTGAATTTGTTCCCAGGAGAGGCTCAGTTTTGTTTCTGTCATGGCAGCTTGACTTTTGGTGCCTCCTGAATGGCTTACGTAAGCCACTGCTGTGGCATTGCCTGACTGTACCCTGACTAGGTGATCCTGCAGAAGGGGGGTGATTCAGTGCTGTAGAGTTAATTTGATGACTCTCCATTCCAGAATGTTGATGGTGTTTCTTGACTCAGAAAGATGGTTTCTATTGTCAAAAACGTCAAGGGCATGAGAAGGAATGACTGTCTTGACTCCAGCGTAGGGTTGAAGGTCCAGCTTGCCAAGTAGAGTATTATCTGGCTGGATATACAGTTGTGTTCAAAATAATAGCAGTGTGTTGAAAAAAGTGAATAAAGCTCAAAATCCTTCTAATAGCTTTTATTTCCATACACACAAATGCATTGGGAACACTACACATTCTATTCCAAATCAAAACATGAAGAAAAATATATCAAATTTGTGTTGTTCCTCTAAAAAAAATTGAAGAAAAGTGAATATTAGACTGTTCAAAAAAATAGCAGTGTTTGTATTCTTCTTTACAAACTCAAACATTCACTATATAAACTAAAAAATATTTGAAGATTTTGCTTTCCTTTGAATCACTTAATTAATATTTAGTTGTATAAGCACTGTTTCAAGGGCATTTCCTCTTCAGCATAAGGCAGCATGACCTCTTCAAGTATTCTGATGTATTCAAACTGATCCATGATCCCTGGTATGCGATAAATAGGCCCAACACCGTAGTATGAGAAACATCCCCATATCATGATGCTTGTGCAACCATGCTTCACTGTCTTCACAGTGTACTGTGGCTTGAATTCAGTGTTTGGGGGTCGTCTGACAAACTGTCTCCGGCCACTAGACCCAAAAACAACAATCTTACTTTCATCAGTCCACAAAATGTTGCGCCAGTTCTCTTTAGGTCAGTCAATGTGCTCTTTTGCAAATTGTAACCTCTTCAGCACATGTCTTTTTTTCAACAGTGGGACTTTGCGGGGGCTTCTTGCAGATAGCTTGGCTTCACATAGGCGTCTTCTAATTGTAACAGTACTCACAGGGAACTTTAGACCTTCTTTGATCTTCCTGGAGCTGATTGTTGGCTTTGGTTGCCATTTTAAAGCATTTGCGATCATTTTAGCTGAGCAGCCTATCATTTTCTGCACTTCTTTATATGTTTTCTCCTCTCCAATCAACGTTTTAATCAAGGTACGCTGTTCTTCTGAACAATGTCTGGAACAACCCATTTTCCTCAGAATTTCAGAGAGAAATGCACTGTAACCAGCATGTACAACATTTGCTGCCTTCCTTCCTTAAATAAGGGCAATAATTGCCACCTGTTTTTCAAAGAATGAATGACCTCACTAATAGAACTCCACACTATTATTTTGAACATGCCCCTTTCAATTAGTGATTCAATTACACAGAATCAGCAGCATGCATGTCATGACTGTTGGGTCTGTTGGATTTCTATTACTCTACTACACCTGCTAGTAAATTATTTGCCATGTAGAAATATAATTTCTACCAAAAACAGTGATTGATCAGGTTAGTGATGTCTGACTGCTATTGTTCTGAACACAACTGTACCCATAGGATAGTCCCGAGAGTGGATCTGTTTGTTGCATGGTGTGAGAATGTTAAGTTTAAAGTTCCCTGGAGTGAAACGAGGCAGAGGATCGAGTCTTCATATGAAGGCTACGATTAGGCCCAGAACCCTCATGCAGAAGGGAATTTTTGAAGGGAATGCATTTTGGATCTGAGAGATCTTTTTATGGAGAAGGAATATTCTGGTTTGGGCTTTGTCCAAGATTAGACCCGGGCACTTCAGATAGTGGGAGGGTTGCAGGGAGAGCTTTGGAAATCAGTGTGGAGAGTAGAGGAGGATATGTAGATGGACATCTTGTATATATTCCAATCAGAATTTTGGTACACAAAATGTTTTCAGAAGCTTTAAACCCAGTTTTAGAGGATGCCCTCATTTGGCTTTGGGACTGTAAGTAGGATTGAATAAAATAATACACTGCTCAAAAAAATTAAAGGAACACTTTGAATACACATCAGATCTCAATGGGGAAAAATATCATGCTGGAGATCTATACTGATATGGACTGGGTTATGTGTTATGAACGTAAGGATGGACCATAGTTTGATGGAAATTAAAATTTTCAACCTACAGAGAACTGAATTCAAAGACACCGTGAAAAAAATGACGTAGCAGGCTAATCCATTTTGCTGAAATTTCATTGCAGCAGCTTAACCGCCTCCCGCCCGCCATACAGTACAATGACGGGTGCAAGGCGGTTCTCTCATTCATATGTCATATGATGTCATTCTGGGAGCCGCATGTGCGACTACGGGAGCGTGCAGCGCGGCGATCCCTTCACTCGGACACAGCGGATCACCGATCAACGGAAAGAGCCGAAGATGTCAGCTCGGTCATATGATCAGCTGATCCACTTCCCTCGGACACAGCGGATCACCGATCAACGGAAAGAGCCGAAGATGTCAGCTCGGTCATATGATCAGCTGATCCACTTCCCTCGGACACAGCGGATCACCGATCAACGGAAAGAGCCGAAGATGTCAGCTCAGTCATGTGATCAGCTGTGTCCAATCACAGCTGATCGCATGTAAACAGGGAAGTGCCGGTTATCGGCATTTCTCCTCACGAGCTGTCACACTGACAGTTTGAGAGGAGAGCCAGTAATCGACATTCCTCGAAGGGGACATGTGCACAGATGATCTGTGTAACCCCAGCAGTGCCACCTGTCAGTGCCAACTGTAAGTGCTCATCCATGCCACCTGCCAATGCCCATCAGTGCCACATTTCAGTGCCCATCAATGCCACATATCAGTGCCCATCTGAGCTGCCTTTCAGTGTCACCTATCAATGCCAGTCAGGTGCCACCTATCAGTGCTGCCAATCAGTGCCACCGATCAGTGTGCATCAGTGCTGCCTATCAGTGCCTGTCAGTGCTGCCTGTCAGTCAGTGCCGCCTATCAGTGCCAGTCAGTGCTGCCTTTCAGTGCCCATCAGTGATGCCTGTCAATGCCCATCAGTGCCACCTACCAGTGCCTCCTCTTCAGTGCCATTTATCAGTGCCCATCACTACAGCCTCATTAGCGCACATCAGTGAAGGAGAAAAATCACTTATTTACAAACTTTTATAACAAAAACGAAGAAAAACATTTTTTTAAAAAAAATTTCAGTGGTTTTTAGCTTAAGAAAAAATAAAAAACCCAGAGGTGATTAATTACCACTAAAATAAAGCTCTATCTGTCACAACAAAATGATAAAAATTTCATATGGGTACAGTGTTGCATAACCGCGCAATTGTCATTCAAAGTGTGACAGCGCTGAAAGATGGAAATTGGCCTGGGCAGGAAGGGGGTTTAAGTGCCCTGTAGGCAAGTGGTTAAAATGGTAGTTTGTATGGCCCCCAAATGCTTGTATGCATGCTCCTAATGAGACAATGGATGGTGACCTGGGGCATTTCCTCCCAGATCTGGACCAAGGCATCAGTGAGCTCCTGGACAGTCTAAGGTGCAACCTGGCGTCATCAGGTGGACCAAAACATGATATCCCAGAGGTGTTCTATTGGATTTAGGTCAGGCGTGTGTGGATGGGCATTCAAAGGTATCAACTTCTCCATCCTCCAGAACTGCCTGCATACTCTCGCCACATGAGGCTGGGCATTGTCGTGCACCAGGAGGAACCCAAGACCCACTGCACCAGCGTAGGGTCTGACAATGTGTCCAAGGCTTTCATCCCGATACCTAACGGCAGTTAGGGTGCCATTTTCTAGCCTGTAGAAGTCTGTGCGTCCTATGGATATGCCTCTCCAGACCATCACTGACCCACCACCAAAACGGTGCTGAGTGATGTTACAGGCAGCATAACATTTTCCACGGCTTCTCCAGACCCTTTCACGTCTGTCATGTGCTCAGGGTGAACCTGTTGTCATCTGTGAAAAGCACAGGGCGCCAGTGGCAGACCTGCCAATTCCGGTGTTCAATGGCAAATGCCAATCGAGCTGTATGGTGCCGAGCAGTGAGCTCAGGGCCCACTAGAGGACGTCAGGCCCTCAGGCAACCCTCATGAAGTCTGTTTCTGATTGTTTGGTCAGAGACATTAACAGCAGTGGCCTGCTGGAGGTCATTTTGTAGGGCTCTGGCAGTGCTCATCCTATTCCTCCTTGCACAAAGAAGGGTATACCTGTCCTGCTGATGGGTTGAGGAACTTTTTGTAGCAAAAAATACAGATTTTTATTTGTAAAAAAAAGTGTCAGAAAAGGCCTGGTCTTCAAGTGGTGAACCACTTACCCTCCTGAGGATTTGCCCCCCCTTCCTGACCAGGCCATTTTTGGCAATATGGTGCTGCGTTACTTTAACTGGCAATTGCGTGGTTATGCAACACTGCACCCAAATGAAATTAATGTCTTTTTTTTCCCTACAAATAGAGCTTTCTTTCAGTGGTATTTGATCACCTGTGCGGGTTTATTTTTTGTGCTATAAACAAAAAAGATTGACAATTTTGACTTTTTCCTATAAAACATATCCAGTAAAAAAATAAATAAATAAATTTAAACCAGTGTATTCTGTTACGTCTTTGCTAAAAAAAAAAAAAAATCCCAGTACATGTACATTTATTGGTTTGCATGAAAGTTATGTTTACAAATGGAGGTATATATTATACTGGAATTTTTTTTTTTCTTTACTAGTAATGGTGGCGATCAGTGGGACTGCGGCGGGCATTCTGACTTGGTGTGTCACTGAGATCCCCAGTGACACCAATACAGCGATCAGTGCAATAAAAAAAAAAAAAAAAAAGCACTGACACTGTACTATTAGGACTGGGCAGAAAGGGGTTAATATGAGGGGCAATCAAAGGGTAAATTGTGTGCAGGGAGTGTTTTACTAGGGGGGGTGTGTGTGTGTGGGCTTCACTGTAATCACAGTGCTCTGGATGGCTGTGTTGTGTACAGCCATCCAGAGCAGTGTGCCCCAGCTGACAGGGAGGAGGACTGTTAGTAAACAAAGCAGTCCTCCTCGTCGGAGATGCTCAGTAATCACTGGCTGGAATCCAGTGATTGACGGCTGCGAATGGTAGCTTGTGTGTGCGCCCCCCTTACCCAGAAACACAATCATGTAAAAACAAAATCATGTGTATATATACATGATTTTGCGCAGCCCTGAGGCCTGTAGCAGTATATCTGCTGTAGGGCAGTCGGGAAGCAGTTAAACACATTGCTATTATTTTTATTACAACTGTAACATGTTGACAAAGGTGAAAAGTGGCCACAAAGCAAGAAGGTAGCATGCTTGATAAACATTTCATAGAGCCCATCCTCTTTGATGTGTACTTCCATTGAGAATGCTGGTGTTACAGATGTGATGGCATATTGTAGACAAGAAATAATGGACGTATGTCCCTCTGAATAAGACCAGTGTGCCGCTATTGGCAGCTGGGGATGTCATTCACCATGGCCCGGCCAGCACTCGGGGATTGTCGGCAAAGCTGACGGGAGAGACCTGCGTGTAAACAACACAAGTCTCTTTTTTTGTCAGCATGGACATGCTGCTTTGTATCTCTTGGTGTGCTGTTTTACTTGGGAGATGTTCTGCTTTGTGTGGGTTTTACATTGCACAGCAGAAAGATAGTTAACCCTTTGATCACCTCAGATGTTAACCCCTTCCTGCCTAGTGTCATTCATACAGGGTCAGTGCTTTTTATTAGCACTGATCACTTGTATTAATGTCACTGGGGATGTCAGTGGCAATTACAACCCAGTGTCAAAATGACCACTGCAGTCCCGCTATAAGTTGCTGATCACACCTATACTAGTATAAAAAAAAAAACCCACCAGATTGGATCACTCGTGTGATAGGGGCCTAAAAGACATATGGAAGAGTGATCTTTTACAGGCATCTTCAGCTGTCTATGCTTTTAGCTACAAGATTCCACACATATGGACAGAAACCCGAGCCAATCTGGAAATTTGTGTCATGAGTTTTTCTAAGGGACCAATACAGAAAAGTAGGACAGAAAGCAATGCTGGTAAGTGTTCCTCAAGAACTTGGTCCTGTTGATTGTCCATTGTCAAACCTCAGCTAATTGGACTAAGACAAACAGATATTGCAGCAATAGCCAGTTACAGGATTTGACCTGCAAGAGCAAAGTGACCCCTTAAGAGCATCTCAAACATTAGGTCTGCAAAATCCTAAATGAAAGAACATCTATTACAGGGACAGTAAGATGTTTACTTAAAGGATAAGTTCCCCTTTTGGACAAAAATAACAAATGCCAAATTTTTTTACCTAAAAAAAATGTGCATTTGTTATTTTTGTCCAAAGCAGCCAATAAAACAATGCACCAGCGACCAGTAGATCGCGGATGCCATGCAGGTCTCCTGCAGACCTGTCAGAATATCTGCTTGCCGTACAGGATATATGGTCAAGCAGATATTCTGACAGGAAGCTTCAATGAACTACCACGGTGCTCCACAGCGCTGTGGTAGTTCATTGAAAACTACAAGATGACAACTGCTAAGGCTGCCGGGACTTGTAGGCATTCATTCACAGAACCCCCATGGCCCCGCTGTTTTCAAATCTGCAGATAACAGGAGAAGTCTCCCTATGTCAGAGGGAAGGTTGGAACATGTAACATATTTCAAAGGTGAACTGATCCTTGAAGACTGTGATGACAGGGTCCACTACTTGGCGAATTCTTTTTCACTGGATAGAACACAGCAATGATGCTCAGAGAAGTGAAAATCTTTTCAGGATTACCTCAATCCTCATGAATTGCTGGTTCTATTTGTTCATGAATAGGGAACGTCTTTTCAGACTTTGCAGGTCCCTTAGTATTCAAAGGGCTTTTGCGCACAGCAGAGTGAGCATGTCTAGATTGACAAGCATTTTGGTGTGACTCGTCAGGAGTCCTGATGAAGCTACGCTTGTATGTACGCGAAACTCGTTGATGTAACAAGGCGCCAGGTGACATCACATCTCTAAGCCCCCAAGCCGAGTCGCGATGGCGATAGTACATGCAGAGGGAGAGATGACCTGCCAACTACGGCCTTGAAAGCCTTACACTCTATTAGCAGATCTGGATCACATGAGCCCTCAATATGGAGACAGTTGGACTGGTAAGATGGTGTACTTACTGACTGGATCAGCCATGGGACAGTGACGGCAACTACGCACACACCTGCATAGACCTGTATAGCCCTGATCAGGTGAAAGATGACTGTTACAGCTCCCTGGCTGCACCTGCATTAAGAGTGTGCCTAATCACACATAGTTACTAGCCCTGATCTATCATTGGATGGATATTGAGGTGGAGGCATTGTGCTGTATCTGCACTAATGGTGAGCCTAATAACATTTATACAACCACTGGTCCTGCTTCAACACCGGATGTATATTGAGGCAGAGGTATTGTGCTCCTTACACCTATATTGGTGAAGTACTTACACTCACCTTACCCTCAATATCTAATGTTGTACTGAATGGGCAATCTGTCTCCTTTGTTGGCCGAATCACCTTATATTGGACAAGTTGATGTTATCAAGGTGACTGCACTTATGTCCACATAGTGAGCACCATCCTTGATCTAGATGGATTGGGATAACTCACCGTATTCTATGCTTGCTATTTATTTGTATGATACCACTTTTTTTTTGACTCTTGTAGTCTTCACTATTGTGGACACTGTTGGTGATCTAGGGTCGGTCTCCTACTGTCTCGGAGTATTATCTAGATACTAAGTCTCATCAGCTGTACCACCAATATTTGAACCATCGATGGCATATGGGCCCCGGGGTTTGTGTACATGTACGCCCTGTAGTGCGATTTTTAGTCATATACGCGTGCGGGTGCAACGTGCAGGGGATACATGCACACAGTTAAATGATGTCCGGACATCTTTATTGTTTGACTCGGTTTTTGTATGTTTAGGCTATTGAACACCACTTGCTATTATTAGCTTTTATGGGCAGCACAGTGGCTAAATGGTTAGCACTTCCACCTGGCAGTACTAGGGTCGTTGGTTCAAATCCCAACCACAGCACCACCTGCCTGGAGTTTGCATGTTCTCCCTGTGCCTGCGTGGGTTTCCTCCGGGTACTCCAGTTTCCTCCCATACTCCAAAGACATGCTGGTAGGTGAATTCGATCCTGTCTAAATTGGCCCTAGTATGTGTATGTATGAATGTTAGTTAGGGACCTTAGATTGTACACTCCTTGAGGGTTAGGGACTGATGTGAATGTACAATATATATGTAAAGCGCTGCGTAAATTGATGGCGCTATATAAGTGACTGAAATAAATAAATAATAGGCTTTTTAAAGCACATTCAGCAGCTGATTTATTCACTTACTGAGTATACAGCTTCTTTATTTTTTTTTTTAATCCTTGCCTATGTTCCAGTTTAAGCTGCTGCCCCAGGTCTCCTGTTTCTGGGTGGCTCCTTTATCTTGCAGCATCCTCCAGCTGAAAAAAATCATTTTGCTTGTATCTGTTGCTTTTTTTTAATTTTTTTTTTAAAGTGGATAGTTAAAAGAATCTAAACATAAAAATAAGCGATAACAAAATGGGCCTCACTTGCAACTCCCATTCAAAATGTTGGTCTCTCCTTTAGCCCTTTTATTATATAATTTCAATAAAAGGAGAATTGAGTGTTAAGAGAATGACACACACTCCAGCTGTTAAAAACACTCTAAAATTTTAATGAATGCGTAAGCTTCGCCTTTCAACATTTATCTCAGCAAGCTTTATTTATAAAATTGTTTACAAAGACTTCCAAACAGGTCAGTAAAGTAATTCTATTGCATTCACTGTACAGGTTTTATAGAAAAAAAGTATCAGAAATAATCCTTCCCTGTGCACTTATTTACAACATCTACTTAAACACACTGCAACTTACTGGTAGGAAACAAAATAAGATTAGGATAAATATACCAATACATAATATTGTACAAGGTTTGATTTATAACATACTATCAGCTTTAAGCCAGAATATCTTAATGTTGTGCATATAATAATTTACAGAACATACAAAAAAAAACAAAAATATAGATATTTAAATTGCGATGTACATAAAGAAATATTTTGACTATGTATAAATAGCTTCCTGCAAAAGATTTTGCTATCAGGATTCATCTAAACACTTAATTTACATATTAAAAAAAAAAAACGTTAAAAAAAAAATATATAAGTATTGCTGCTTTTCAGCAGTGGCCAAGATGGACTGTTCGGTTTTGAAATACGGAAGAAATGAGAACAAAGTGCCAGATTCTCAGTGTCAGGAAACAGAAAATGCCATCCATGAAATGGTCTGAAAGGTGATTTGCTTACCATACTAACCAACCCCACATTCTTCCTTTCCTATGGAAAAAGTGACAACTGGAATGTAATTGGCAGCAGTGCTTCTTTCAAACACTTTTGTACACTGAATTAAAATGAAACGTGAGCAGAAAAAACAAACATTCACATGTAAAATAAGCAAACTTTACTGCACAGGTCCTAGGAGTGGACTCCACCGTCTCAAACAGTTTCCTCTTTCCGCTGAAGCAGATGATCAAGTGCATTTCTGTTTTCCTTGCTTCTATATTTATGTACAAAAATTGTACTGATAAAAAAAGTCTTGTATTCCTATGTGTATTCCCAATAATCCCCCCCAATGCATCACGACCTGAAAAATAAAAAAAATGTAAACTGAACTAACAAGCATACATTCATGTATTGTACAGAGATTAATGAGTAAGAGTTTATACACTATTTTGTGCACATAACAATACAAACCAAGTGCCATTGTTACATGGAAGGATATTTGCAGACTGTGTACCAAGATCAAATCAATGAAGCTACTGCACAACATTCCAATACTCTAAGTTTTCATGGCAGCACCCAACAACACGACTGTTACACATCCACTGACACATTTCATGCCTAGTGATGGTTAGCCAATGTGCTGCACATAACAGAGCCCCATTTATAATTGCATATACATGGGAGTGACATAAAAGCAACATTAAAATAATACCTGTATATAAAAACAAACTACAGAAAACAACCACAATAATGTACAGCAGGTGCAAATGAAAAGGAATAGCAAGTTTATTTTTATATTATAAAATATATAATATGTATATCTATAAATAATGCCATGGCTATTTTGAATTATTGCTATTCCCGTCTTAATCCAAGCCATAAATATTATTTCACATACAATATCAGGAAAAGTAGTATAGTCATTGAAAGACTCTTGTAATGACTACTGTCCTTTTATCTATTTATAATTCTGGCTGTATTTGGATTGTTTACATATGTAAGTATAAAAAGGGTTTCCAGTGCACCCACCCACCACTGTCAGTCCAAGCACCAATACAAATGAAACATCAGAGGTCATGTGACTTATGTTACTGGAGCTCTAATAAGCATCATAGTTCTGTGCAACACTCTTCCTCTTGGTTTTCCATGTGCTATGCCTACCTCTGTAATGGCACATCTCCCTCTACCAACAGGAGACCTTGACTGACAATGAAAACTGGATTCTATTTTCTTTCTTCTGTATTTGTCAAAGCCTTCTGTTTTTACAGGAAGGGGTGCATCGCATAATGTTTGCAGCCGTTACCAAGGTTACTGTGGGATGCAGTGCATAATAAACCTCCTTGCTGCATATAATAAACCATCAGTATGAGACCAGTTGTATATGTTTGCCTTTTTCATGTTTGGAAACATTTCTAGAAAGATTGAGGAACCTTACAGACACAAGTTTCCACCCATCAGTTAACGACTGTCAATTCATCTTTGAAAAGTCTCCCTCAGCATCTCTCTGGAGTCCCCAAGCTAAATGCACATTTTTGTAGACAGGAACATACTGTACACCACAGATACACCCAAGGCCTTATAGATCACCCGTCAGTTTATTGCTAAAATACTATGGTTTATTTAGGTGTCTACTAAAATGTATCTAAACAGAATGTCAGGTGCTCCAATATTTACATTCTGATACTTACTAGCAATATCAAGGTTCACCACTCCATCACTTCCAATTACAATGCCCTCTACAGTAATGGTTAACAGCCTCTTAAAGAGCTCATAAAGATGTGTGAAGCATGTGTGGAAACCTGTAGATTCATTATATAGCCAGTTGTGTATATAAAACTGGCTGACTATTTCTGAAAGGTCAGGAATGTGCATATTTTCAATATTAACTGTGGTCAATGGGACGGTCTGCTAAAAATGCATTTTAACTGCAAGAAAATAAACTATGCACACTACATTGTTCTGCAATCACACATCACATGAGAGAGATTTCATTACGTCTTTACAAAATGTGATTTCTCACTGGCTGTAACCCATATGCATTAAATGCTAGCATGTTACACTATTCATCTGGTACATTCAATGTCCACATTGTGCAGTGCTGGTTAAATATTTTAATTTTGAACACTGCCTTACTACAAACTTATTGTTGGGGTTGAACCCTCACTTTACAATCCACCAGAACTGATGCATACAGTAGTTACAGCATATTTTTGTAATCTAATCTATACTCACCAAAAAGAAGGCTGAAGCTGTATGTCTACTTTCTGGATTCTTCTGATGAAAGTGTCGACATCATACACAAGAATTCCATTCTTTTCAAACTCCTCAGCTTCTGTGCATGGCATTACTGCATGTAGAAAGGACAATGCTGTATTAATGCTGTTAGCAATCATCCAAATCAAACACATTCTAACACCTTTCATTTTCGTTCTATTTCTTTTCACAGGTCCATTACTTACCAGCCACATACAATGGCTGCATCAAAAAAATGACAAATTATTCTGTGGCTAGGCTATGAACATTGAAAAATATTTACACCAGTCTATGCTTTTGTGAGATCCTCACTATAAGGCTCAGTGGGAGCTGGGCAGGTGCGATGCAAATGTCTCCTTTCACTTTTTCTGCATGTGTAGAAAAATGTGATTTTTGTACTTCCCATGAAAATTAATTTCTTGGAGTCCATTGAGGGAAACAGGAATGCAGAGACTTTTGTTCAATTAATGCAACCTAGGATTGGATACTTGTAAAACTGTGGACCAGCCCAGGATATTCCTTTCTGCTTTCAACATGCCTTGGTTTTTGGTAAAAGAAACACCAAGAGAAGAAAGGAATAGGACCTGTATCCCTCTTTAGTCCTGTGGCACTCCTGGATTGAAAAGTGCAAATCTCAGAACAGAGTGTTTGACTTTTCTTCTATCTGGCTTCAGCCATGTCTAGAATTAGACCCAGACATTCCAATCAAAGAGTTGGTTTCAGCACCGACTTCTGAAGGTTCAGGGCCCAGTTGAAGCTCTGCATTGTAAGGATGGTCAGGACAATGTTCACCAAAAAGGCTCCCTTAGTAGGAGGTTGTCTGCACAACGGATAATAGGGATGTCCTGAGAGTACATTAACCATTAGCCTACAGGGCACTTATACCCCCTTCCTGCCCAGGCCAATTTCCAGCTTTCAGCACTGTTGCACTTTGAACGACAATTGCGTAGTCATGCAACACTGTACCCATATGAAATTTTTATCATTTTTTTGTGACAGATAGAGCTTTATTTTGGTGGTATTTAATCACCACTGGGTTATTTTTTCTTAAACCAAAAACCACTGAAAATTTTGAAAAAAAACAAAACGTTTTTTCTTAGTTTTTGTTATAAAATTTTGTAAATAAGTGATTTTTCTCCTTCACTGATGTGCGCTAATGAGGCTGCAGTGATGGGCACTGATAGGCTGCACTGATGGACACTGATGAGGAGGCACTGATGGGCATTGACAGGCATCACTGAAATATGGCACTGACTGGCCCTGTTAGGCGGCACTGATTGGCATTGATGGGTGATGATCAGTGTACATGTCCCCTCTGCGGAATGCCGATTACCGGCTCTCCTCTCGAGCTGTCAGCGTGACAGCTCGAGAGGAGAGAAATGCCGATAACCAGGATTTCCCTGTTTACATGTGATCAGCCGTGATTGGACACAGCTGATCACATGACCGAGCCGACATCTTCGGCTCTTTCCGTGGATCGGTGATCCGCTGTGTCCAAGCTGCGCATGCGCGGTTAGAATGGGAGGACGTCATATGACATCCTCCCAGAACGTGAGAACCACCTTGCGTCCGTCATATTACTATATGGTGGGCCGGAGGTGGTTAAGGCTAGCACAGGTGGCAACTCCGTGCTGAATGGCCTTGATGTCCATAGAGACCTGGATGAAAGAAGGCTATAACAGATCTGGTGGATTCAATACAGAATTTCTAAGCCTGAATGAAGACATTTAGGGCCCTGAAATTCAAAGAAGGGACAAATACATTCTTAAGATTTGGAACAGTGAACAGGTTGGAGTAGAACCCCTAGAACAATTTTACCACAGGGACTAAGGCAATGATGCCCTGCTCTAGCCAAATACCCAGAAGGGCTGTATGCAGATCTGCTAATATTCACAGTGACACAGGCAGGTTGGATGCAATGAACCAGGGTGGGGGCTGGGAGCTAAACTCTAACTTGAAGCCCTTGGAAACCACCTCCCGCACCCAAGAATCTGAGATGCAGGTTGTCCAAGTGCCCACAAAGACTAACAGACATACATGTGGGTGTTCGCTCTTATGCTGAAGGAAATTTATGTGATGGTTTGGGGGACATGAAAGTCCAGGATCTGCAGGTGGACTGGGTGCCAGATTTACATTTGCCTTGTGAAGCGGAGGCCTAAGAGCAACAAAAAAGACTTTTCCTGGCCTCCATTGCGGAATCTGTCTGCCCAGACTGAAACCTAGGTTTCCTTTGCTGAGAAATATGGGTATTGCTGCCACTGGTGACATCCTTGATGAGGACATTTAGAGAAGTTCCAAAGAGAGCCCTTGAAGGGCATGCAGACCAAGTGGACTTCGCAGCCTTAATCCCTTCCGTGATAAGACTGATGGAAAGTGGGATAGACGAATAATGCCCAGCGGTGCTAGTAACTAGGTAGCTCCTGGTGCTCTGGCCTGCACAGCCTACTTCTAAAATATGTTTTTAGCGTCAGGGTCACACTAAAGCAATGCCATGGCTCTGGTCCAGAAAGAGATCCACAGCTAACATTTACCAGTACACACAGGTCTAAAGTTCTACAATGCAGAGGCCAGTGCATGAAGGTCACATAGCCTTGCAACAGCACTCTAAAATCAGGCTGATGAAAGGCCAATACAGATAGTTAAGCAACAATATATCAGGTATCTGGACTTGAAGAAAAAAGGGTAGCTAGCAAAAAGGTCAGCAGAGAAAAGAGATCCATCCTCCTACAGCACTAGTAAAACTAAGACAAGCTGGGAGAAGGAGGGGATATCTTGGACTGGTCCACAGTTTTGTTTGCTGGAATCCCATCCTCCTGTATGTAGCATTATAACCTCACAGGTTCTGAATTCCTGTATACCTAAAATTAACTAGGAGAAAAAAAAAACCCCCATCTAATTCAATCCTATGAAGAGGCCATTTAATATTCATCAAAACAGAAAGAGTGGAGGACTGGCTGGGAGAGTTTTCAGTATCAGGAGGAGAGTGGAATAGTGAGTATAGGACTTTGGTGGATAATAGTGAGGTAACAAAGGATAAATATTCAAAGGTTCAAAGGTATATGGTGAAGACAAAATGAGCAGTGCTCCAATACAGAAATTAACCACTCTGGTGAATACATGTCAAATCATGTAAACCAATTATGATCCAACTAAGTATACATAAATAAAAATAAAAGGCAAATATGTGCAACCATTAAATCCACTTTTGTGTTATATTTATACAAATCAACTAAAGTCCCAAACTAAGTCCAGTTAGTGTTACATTTTTATGTGAATCAACCACAACAAAGTCCTAAACCCATTATTGCAGTAAATTGCAATATTTGAGCCTCTCTTCTTTAAAAGGAAACCTGCACCTTCCAACACATGACCACCTCCACTGGTGTGTAATAACGAAACGCTTACCCTCATTCACTGATGTCTGAAAAGGAAACCTCCACCTTCCAACCATTGACCACCTCCATTCATGTATAATAACTTAATGCTTACCCTCAGTGGGTAAGAGATCAATAAATGAGGGTAAACGTTTAGTAATTATACCTGAGTGGAGGTGTGGCTACTTGTTGGAAAGTGGAGGTTTCCTTTTGAAGAAGAAAGAACATATTGCAATTTACTGAAAGAATGGGTTTGGGACTTTGTTGTAGTTGATTCACATAAAAATATAACACAAACTGGACCTGGTTTGGGGAAAAGCACTGCACATATATGCTTTTTATTTATGTATATACAGCTGAATCATAATTGGTTGTACATAATGTGACACTTGTTCATCAGTTATTAATTTCTGTATTGAAGTGCTGCACATTTTGTTTCATTATATTTTTTCAGCGTGATGTGTGGTTCACATGGCTGGCTCTCTTTCGAATTTAAGTTTTTCATCGTACAGTGAAATATTGTGTCTTTCTGGGAGGGTTGTTTTTCATGTAAACACATATAGGCTTTCAGGGTGAAAACCATGGGTGAACTGTGCAACCTCCATTCCCTAGATCTCCTTGCTACATATTTTGGTGTGTAATGCTTTTTCTGTTGGCTGAAATAGTGATAGAATAACTACTTTCAGACTTTTTGTTCACATGTAACACTTTGTTTTTTGGGGGGGGGGGGGGGGGGGGGTTTGCAAAAAAAAATTACTTAGAACCTCCAAACATTATATATATTTTTTTAAAGCAGAGGCCCTAGAGCATAAATTGGTGGGGTTTGAAATTTTTTATGTCACATGGTATTTGTGGAGTGGTTTTTCAAATGCATTTTATGGGAAAAAAATAAGCTTTTTTGAATTTTATTTCTAAAAAAAAAAAAAACACAAAAAAAAAACACCACAAACATAAACCTTTTTTTGTAAAATACAAAAGATGATGTTACACCAAGTAAATAGATACCAAACATATCAGGCTTTAAAATTGCGCATGCCATACAATGGTGACAATGTAAATTTTACTATCCATAGGCGAAGCTTTAAAAGCCTTTACAGGTTACCACTTTATATTTGAGCGAGCGCATGGGGTGCTTTAATATATATTTTTTATTTTTACACTGTAATTATTTTTTGATCACGGTTATTGCTGTCACAAGAAATGTAAACATCCTGTTGACAGCAATATGCATGTGACAGATAAACTTTAGGGAAAGATCTGGGGTCCATAAGGACCCAAATCCCTTCTCTGCACTTCAGATCAGTGTTTCTGAATGCTTTAACGGAGAGCCGATCAAAGCCGATTACGGCTTCGTTCAGCTAGCCAGCATGTGCCGGCTGGTCTCTCGAGGCTCCCGATGGGACAGGAGAGCCTGAGAGAGAGGCGGAATGTCCCCTCCCGCTGCTCATTATAGCAATACAGTGGGTGGAAAGCCGCTTTGAATGATATTACAAGAGAGCCGACCACCGGCTCTAAAAAATACAGTCCCAGTGCAGCGGCAGGCATCACTCGTATAACCACCAAAAGTCCAGCAAAGTACCATTACGTCGCTGGACGGGAAGTGGTTAAGGATTGACAAAATCATTAAGAGTTCAGATGCATGCATAATTAACCTGCAGAGGGTCTATGATAAAGAGTCTTGGGATAAGGTGTTCCCAGAACACTAAGCTATGGATAACCAGCAAAAAACAGAAGGCTACCAGGGTCTACTAAGATATTGCTGAAAAGCTGAAATCCAAGGGCGCTTTACAGAAAGGCTATGCTCCTTTGTGTATTTTAATGATAATTCTTCAAATTTAGCTTACCTATTAGTAAGCTTCAGGGTTTGATCATGCTGCATCAAGCATTTTACTAAACAATTTTGACACTTTAAAATGGAAGCTTGGCAAATATTACATTACAATATTACATTTAAAGCCTAGCAATAATACCTGTCAAACAGACTGCAAGTCTTGAACGGATATGCTGACTCTGGAGGCTCAACAGACATTCGAGATCACTCGAGAGGTCTTTAGACCTTGAGTCACACCGATGATAAGGCAGGATTTCAATGATGTTTGATTGCTGGTAAGACTGAAGCAAAGGAATCTTAATCCGAGATGCAGACTCTGCTCTGTTGTGAGAAATGACATACACACACAGTTCAGTCATTGCAATAAAAAGGGAAAAAAATGTAACTGTTGGCGCTATATAAATCCTGAGTAATAATAATAAGAACAATAGTAATAACAATAATTAGAAAAAAAAAAAACTGCTGCCAAGCTGTACAGACAGGTACATGTCAAAACACTGCTAGCAACAATTCTATTACAGGTGGAGCTCCTCCCCACCAGTACGAAGGGAGCTTTGAAAGGGAACGTTCTTATCTTTTACTTAAAATATCTAGTTTTTTTTTTTGTGCACTACCAGTATCTTCACTGGATTGAATATTTTTTTAACCACGTATATAATTTATGCTTCCATACAGTCATTCAGTAAGTTCATCAGTCTTTTACAATTGTTTACACACACATTTTGATTGGTGAATTACCATTTGCATCTTCTGTCTTCCTACATTAAAATTACCAATAGACTGGAACAAAAATGAAATCCAGTGCTAGGACTCAAATTGCAATTAAACATTACAAGCTGTCAGCTTTCATATGGAAGTGATGCAGCGACTATTACTTTACCTTCAGTTTTGGATGTCAACTTTACTGGCTGCTGTGGCCTGGGTAGAAGCTAACGGAGCATGATCTGTGCTACCCATCGCACAAAATACCAGCAGCAATGAAAATTTAAGTTGCTCCCAAGCGCTTAACATCCCTCCCCCCACAGTACCATAAATGCAGGTGTCAGGGGTGCCTACATATAAAAATGGTGTTCCACAATACATATCGCTGCACACACCAGAGGGACATTATTGTTAACTTTTAACTGATGACCTGTAGTACTTTTATAGAGTTGCCAATAGGCAATATTGTATACCATTTGCTGCCAAGGGTCCAAGCAATTTTAGATCTGAATTCCAGACAGATATTTTTTCCAGCTTGCACCAATGGAAGCATTTACCTGTATCCATACCTGTGGGAGCTGGCAATCACTGTAGCTGGCACTGCTACTACATCTACTGTTGCTGACGTCTTGCGTCTCATGCCAAGCAGCTGTCCTGCTGCCTAATGAACACAGGAGGTTGCTCACTTGGCACTGGCGTCATCCAGAACACTGCAATTTCTCAATCAATGCAAAGTGTTCTCTGATTACACAAGAAAGATATGGTCTGGTGACATCAAAAACTCCACCTCATCCAATCAAAGAAAGCTTTGAACTAAAAATTTGAACTATCACCACTACTTTATTATCCATGGTGACTACTTTCAGAAAATACAGACTGTTTGGGGGTATTAGCTAATCTTAAGGCCTAAAATGTGCATTTTAACATGTATACAAGCTCTGGCAGCAAAAAGGTTAAACATAAGGATACCTTTTATCTTCCTTAAGTTTCCTGTACTCCCCATAATGAATGAGCCATTTCCAAGCTGAAGTTCGACTCATCTTCTCCAGTATTGTCAGAACTTCTTTTAGCTTACCTACACAGAGATAAATCAATGAAAAACAAAACATTTGCTGTTAATTCATTTTGCAGAACATACTATATGCTATATATTCTCAAAATCAGCAGTTATGCAATACAGTAATGTAAAGTGATGGGTAGTACTGCTTGCAGAGTTGGGACACAGAGTATGGGGTACCTCCGCTGGGGCAAATCAATCAAATATTCTTTGACCATTAAGTGGCATTCCCTGCAACTGATGGCTTGGCATTTCACACTTTTATTCAGGGTGGGTAGCTGATTACCCTCTCATCTCATTAACTGCATTAATAGTAGTGGACAGTCAGTCAACAAAAATACAGCACAAAAGATACAAAAAAAAAAAAATATAAACAGAATTGATAAATGCTAACCTATGGTTATATTTTCCAGTACAGCTCTATCAGAAACAACAAATCCACCAGTTTGAAGAAGCTCCTGGTACATCGATTCTGACAGATCTTCTGGAGCGTCCACACCAGCAAACTTAACGTTTGGGAGAAGCCTCAGCTGCAGCAAGCATGGAATCTAGAGAAACAATACACACAAATCAAACATCATTCATTTAATACACCTCAACAATTTAAGATTTATGTATATACTAATACTAATTCAAAAGGACATGATCCTGTCACCATAAGGTTTATCTTTTTTTTTTAACCCAACCCACATACACAGTTCAGTTGTGGGTGGCTTAGTGAAGGACTGAACATTATGGTAAGGTCAGCTGAGATACAAATATAAATCACAGTGCAATTCCTTATACTAAAAGGATAACCAATTGTTTATGAGATTTGTTTTTTTTTTAGACCTACCAGTCGTACAGTTGTTGCCAAAATATTATTTGTGTGCAGTTACTTGTCTTCAGAATAGCTAAACAAGTCTAAAATAAGAAAAAAAAGAAAAGGATTTCGACTTACCTGCAAGGCCACATTCCTACTTTCCATTTTCAGCAAAGTGCACAGGAAACGCGTGTTTTGCTGTACGTTTCAGAAACGCACTGAAAAACACGCATCATGTTTGCTGCGCCATTAATAATGGCACACCAAATACAGCTAGTAGATGCGTGTTCTGCGACGTGGCAAACACGCTACAAATGTCCCAAAGCGTAGCTATGCTACGTGTGAGGGTACTCCCCCGAGTAGTATTCACAGAGTAGGGTGTAGAATAGGATAAGAGTTTCCACAGAGAGAATGCAGAAAACCAGGTGCAGACCACTCTGTAGCGAATCCTTGTGGTGAAAGGGCAGGAGGAAGGCATGAGTGAAATGTTACTCGCTGACGAAGTTAAGAATCTGCACTGGATTGTTTCCTTGTGTCTGAAGCTTTTCACCTTTTGTGAGTATATGGAAATTTGTTTCTACTAATAAATGGTACTTGTGATAATACACAAGACTGGTGCACCCCCACTTTTTCTTGTCTTATATTTACATTTTAACAATGCCTGATATACACTGCTCAAAAAAATTAAAGGAACCCTTTGAAAACATATCAGATCTCAATGGGAGAAAAAATCATGCTGGATATCTATAATGATTTGAATTCAGTCCTCTGTTGGTTGATAGTTTTAATTTCCATCAAAGACACCCCAAAAATCAAAGTGAAAAAATTATGCAACAGGCTAGTCCATTTTGCTGAAATTTCATTGCAACAACTCAAAATGGTGCTCAGTAGTTTGTATGGCCCCCCAAGTGGTTGTATGCATGCCTGACAATGTTGGGGAATGCTCCTAATGAGACCACGGATGGTGTCCTGGGGTATTTCTTCCCAGATCTGGACCAGGGCTTCACTAAGCCCCTGGACAGGTCTGAGGTGCAACCTGGCAGCGTGGGATGGATGGAAACATGATATCCCAGAGGTGTTCTATTGGATTTAGGTCAGGAGAGTGTGGGGACCATTCAATGGTATCAATGCCTTCATCCTCCAGGAACTGCCTGCATACTCTCACCACATGAGGCCGGGCATTGTTGTGCACCAGCAGGTACCCAGGACCCACTGCACCAGCGTAGGGTCTGACAATGGGTGCAAGGATTTCATCCTGATACCTAATAGCAGTCAGGGTGCCATTGTCTAGCATGTAGAGGTCTGTGCGTCCCTCCATGGATATGCCTCCCTAGACCATCAATGACCCACCACCAAAAGGTCATGTAGAACATGTTACAGGCAGTATATCGTTCTCCATGGCTTCTCCAGACCCTTTCACGTCTGTCACATGTGCTCAGAGTGAACCTGCTCTCATCTGTGAAAAGCACAGGGTGTCATTGGCGGACCTGCCAATTCTGGTGTTCAATGACAAATGCCAATCAAGCTCTATGGTGCCAGGCAGTGAGCACAGGGCCCACTAGAGGATGTCAAGCTCTCAGGCCACCCTCTAGAAGTCGGTTTCTGATTGGTCAGAGACATTCACACCAGTGGCCTGCTGGAGGTCATTTTGAAGGGCTCTGGCAGTGCTCTTCCTGTTCCTCTTTGCACAAAGGATCAGATACCGGTCCTGCTGATGGGTTAATGGACCTTCTATGGCCCTGTCCAGCTCTCCTAGAGTAACTGACTGTCTCCTGGAATCTCCTCCATGCTCTTCAGACTGTGCTGGGAGACACAGCAAACCTTCTTCATGCTACCAGTAGTGACACTGGCCCTAGCCAAATGCAAGACTAGTGAAAAACAGGCAGAAAAGATGAGTAAGGAAAAAAATGTCAGTGGCCTTCACATGTAAAACCATACCTGTTTTGGGGGTAGTCTCATTGTTGTCCATCTAGTGCACCTGTTATTAATTTAATTAACACCAAAGCAGCTGAAAATGATTAACAACCCCCTCTGCTACTTAATGGACCAGACCAATATCCCAGGAGTTTAATTGACTTGATGCTATACTCTGATTAAAAAGTGTTCCTTAAATTTTTTTGAGCAGTGTACAAAGATGTTCATGGTTATTTTTGCCAAGCTTTTCTTGCATGTGTCAAAATATTACAACTCAAGACAAACTGGTTTGACCTGTTAATACATTGTTCAGTACAGTGTATATGAATCATTAGCCATTTATGCACAGTTTGTAAAAGCAGATTTTTTTTCACAGGCTTCTCGCATTACTAAAGGATAAAAATGAGAGGGTACAAACTGCTAATCATCTACCAACACAAAGCTACAACACATTGTTTTTTTTTGCAAGTCTACTAGCAGAGTTTTAAGTTGACAAACAAAAAAAAACAGCACAAGCAAAACTCTAAGAAAGCAACAGCACATCACTTCTTACCTCCATTTCATAAAGAAAAAACAACATTTTGAATGAACAAATTGTTAAAAAAAAAAAAAAAAGGATGGAAAACAAATGTAATGTTTAAAAGTCTACCTTGTGAATCTGTGAAGATACATTTTCATTCCTTAGAATAACCAGAAGTTTATTAGGTTTTTCTTGCTCATTCTCACAGAAGTCCTGTGGTTCAATCGGAGTGTAGCCATCTTTTATTAGTAACGACTGTAAAAGAAGCAATGAAAACCTGTTATGGTCCGTGATTACATTATTGTTTTTACAAAATGATAGGCCTCTTGCACACTGAATGCCTTGTTAATATCTAATTTATGGCCCCAAGCACACCTGGTATTTAGCCCCGATGCATGAGGCTCTGGCGTTTAA